CTCGCATGAAGAAACGTGCTAAAAGAGGAAACCACATGATGCTCTGTCGTATTGATTCGTATTGCATCCTTTAGACAAATGCATGAATTCACACTGTGTCTTGATCTTTAGCTTTCAGCTCTGAAGCTTTTTTGCTGTCAATCGGTGTATCTGGTGGGATCCTCTTCGAAATGAAGAGCCTTAACCTTTACTTGGTGAAAATGTCTTTGAACAAACCATGGTGGGTTCGCTATATATCATTCAACATGAGTCATGCCTCTCAGGAAGCCTCTCAGCTGGCGTGATGCAGTGAAGGCCATTGCTTCACAGCCTGCCAGGAGCTAGCTGCTTGTGTCACTCTCTTCCCAGATCAAACTTGGGGAATGTGTGCAGGACTGTTCGGAAAACGATCTCGAAGAAGAAGGACAAATCCAGGACCAATGTCTTTCCTACAACTTCTCATAGGATCTTCCGAAAAGACTTGAATGAAAGGGTTCTTCCTAGTTCACTGGAGGACGTGCTATTACCCGAAGACATCTATTCCGATGGCCAACTCGGATCATCCACGGGGGCCCAAAACTACGGCCCAAGCATTCAAGTGGGCTCCAGAGTTCCTGAAGAGGCTTTGCCAACGATTTGGTCGTGCCCAGGTATTGAGTCAGCTCAAAAAATGGCGCTGGCATGTCGGCACTATGTTCAGTGGAGTCGGATGCGCAGAGTCGGTGCAGAGCTTGGAAAGGGTTGCTGTAACTGTGGCCACCCCAAATCTTCTGGCAACCAAGTTTTTGTGGTGATATTGAGGCCCTGATGAGCTTGGACGCGGCTGTTCGAGAGGTCATCCCGCGACAGCTGTGTTCTCGGGTGACTACCTATTGGGCTTGTGATTTCGACTCCTCATGCCAGAGGGTGTTGTGCAATACATACTCTCAGTGTGTGTTTTCGAACATCATGGACTTTGCCCCTGAGAAGAAACAGCTTTGGTGCTTGAAGCACAAATCAATGTGCACATGTGAACTTCCTGTGAGAAAGAACAGTTACTTAGCTGAGTGTATTTCGGTCAAGGAAATAATGACATGGACAACTAGCTTACATAATTGCATGACAAACGATCCCAGGCTTGCGTGTCCAGATCGCAGGCGTGGACTGTTGTGAATCGTAGGTTCCACAAGCAAGGTTGTTTGTTCAGTGAGTTGTCCAACCCAATCAGTCGAGCTCCCCAGCCTCCAGCCCAAGCAGGACCACCATGCCAGCCATACTCCAAAATGGGCCTTCAGAGGGGCGAGCGAGACGCCAAGTTTGAGACCCACAAGAAGTATTACAGTCGCATTTCGTCGGCCGATGTACACATCATTGAGAATGTGACAGAGTATGAAATCGAAAAGTATTTCAAGAAGTACTTCAATCCTCCTGGTGAGAACCATTGGGATTTGGAGGTTGCAAGGTTGGACCCAAGAATTTTCGGGCATGGCGGCGCCCGACCTCGTGTGTGTTTGGGCTCATTTGGAACCGAGCATACATCGGCATGTGGAACCCAGACTTCCCGTTCCAAGAGGTTCTGGCTAGCCTGAGAGCCAAGCCAGCTATGAGGGCATCCGACTTCTTCTACATGAAGATCAACCCATCTTCTCTAAGCTCTCGGGAAGAATTTCAGCTTAATAGTAGTTGGGAAAAGTTGGGATATGTTCCACTGGTACCACCAGATATGCCTGAAGCAACCCTGTCTCACCCTCTATACTTACTATTGACTCCATTGATTGTTGGTTGAACTCAGGAGGAGAACTTGAGGGACTACATGGATTGCCAGAAGTTCAAGAGAACGCACTGGCAAGTGGCCGACTTGAACCAAATGGTGAGGACGAACCGGGGTCGGACAGAGTGCAAGGATGGATGCCTGATGACCCTGACTACGAACTGTTCAAGGCTTTATAGCAAGGTGTCTTGACTAGAAGCTTGTAAGTACAGTAGAAGCATCAGCATGCAGAATGCTCAGAAGATATTTGAAGGTATAATGTTAGTGGCTTCAAAAAAGTAACTACTGAGTTTGTGAGGCCTTGGGACGTGTGATGCACCCGCATGAGCTTCTAGCCACACACAGCTTGCCTGTGAACGACAAGCAGAGCACTCTCGCGAAGTCGCCAAAGCTGGCTCTTGATGCCACCTCAAACACGGCCGCAGTTCGGATGGCAGGCAATGCCATGTCAGTACCAACCATGGGAGCAGTCATTGTGGCAGCCATCTTGGGGCTGAGCTGAAGGCTCCTCATGGAAAGTCATTTTAGAACAGCACCCAATTAGATTGCGTTTCAGAATCCAGCTGATGCTTAGCCTTTGAGAGTGGAAAATAACACTTACAGGTTCTTTTGACTAGCACAGGAGTGTGGGCAATGCAATTCTTTCAAAAATCTCAAGACATGTTTGGCCGAAGCCCTTTTTGTAAGAGAGAGTCAACCAGGTAGGCTTTCTTGCGGGGGCCAGTCGGGCGGGGAACGGGTCGATGGGTAAGCGTGCTGCACCTACCAGCACACCGCCATCGGTCAAGTCTTCGAGGGCTGGTCCAAAACTTGGGCCATGGAGCAACAAAATCTGGCTTTCTGTGAAGACCCTTGTAAGAATGTTCGATGGAAGGGGTGTCTTTTTTTGGGGGGGGAGCTTCGGACATGACAAACAGTTCTGAACAGTTTCATCCTTTGTAACTCAGGAGCTTTGACCCGGCAAAAGATGAGCACCCTGTTTCATGGCTCTTGAAGAACGCACAACCAGAGTTGTTTGCTCCCCTGCATGAGTGGATGTCTGACCTTATGTGCAAGTCTCTTCCAGAGCCCTCTAGCCTGATCGTTCCGGACCACTGGGCCAAATTGTTGTGAACTACAATGCATGTCAAAACTTCCTATGGCCTCTTTCCCAAGGATTTCTGCCCCCTGTTCAGGATCATTCTGTGCAATCTACTTTTGAAATCCCGATTCTGGCATTTCTCCCGACGACACCAAGTGATGGGTTGCCGATGCTAGCAGATTGGCTGAGCACAGCCCAGTCGATCTGGGGCCTTGGCTATGAAGGCTTTCGCGAGAGCATCGAGTTCAAGCCTCCGGGCCTGGAGTCTGCTGGGAAGCCAATGGGCTTTGCATCTTTGGAGGTGGTCAAGGGTTGTGGGAGAGCATCAATCTTGCTGTTCTCCTGCTTCTACACCTACATCGTCCTGAAAAGGGGTTTGAGCGAAGAGGAAACGGAAGACTTCCGGAAGTGGCCCAACCTGTGAATAGAACACTTGGGAGAACAAACGCATCGCCTTTGACCTTCTTATGTTCCCCAAATCTCAAAGGTGATGGTGGGGGTGCCATCGTCGCCTTTCACAGAAGGCATTCCCAAGGCAATCCCAGAAAGCCTAGGGCTAGTACCTAGAAAGGAGTCATAATCTAATAATGAATCCAAAAGGTGAAAGGTGATGGTGGGGACCCCATCGTCGCCTTTCACATATGGGGATTACCTTAGCCTTCAAGTAGAAGGGGATAATAAAGAAAGGCATTCAAGTAGAAGGGCCCAGGTTTAATAAAGAATCCTTTATGTCAAAGGTGATGGTGGCACCCCCATCGTCGCCTTGGCCTGGGGAGGAACTTGGGCTGGCCAAAGGTGATGCGTTTGTTCTCTGGGAAGGATTTGCTCTTTGGGTGCCACTGTCCCCTGCTCATTTTTTTTCACCAGAAACCATGCAGAACACATACTAAAAAAACTATAATCTAGCAAATGCGCCAAAGGCTGATCCAAAGAATGAGTTGACAGAATGTGACAAATCAAAAGCCTGAAACAAGTAGCTATACTTGTTTGTTCAGGAACCTCAATTTTGTGTAGCCCTTGAAAGTGGGTATCTTAGGTGTACAGGAACCGCTCGCCAAGTTTTTGATTGGATCGTGACAGCATGCGTTGCTTGAGGTGGCTCATGACTGCCAGTTCAGTGAAGTGCGTTTACATCAAGCAGAACAATCCCCAGGATTACATTTGGCGGCGAATCCAGATCAGTGATCAGCAGTCAGAGCGGCAGAAGAAATCGATTCTTCAACTGTGCCTGGCCTTTCATGGGCGAGCTGAGCAGATCATGAAGGACCTAATGCAACAAGTTCATTGTGGTTGAAGTCAACTAGTTCACAGCCCCCCCAAAGAGTTGTGTGCCTTCCGTTGGTCTCCTACCATTTGTTTGCCTTCCCAGCCCAACCTTCTGGAAGCCAACCCTTCTCACTTAAAACAAAGAACTTGAGGGGGGCTATGATGGTGATGGACTATGTACTGAATAGCCAGCCAACTTCTAGGAGATTGGAAAATACCCAGTGATCGACTAACCAGCCCTGCAGGACGAGCGCGGATCTTTGCCATCTGGTGATGCCGGCTACCGCCAGGCCTGGGATATGGCCATTGAGGAGTTCAATAACTTCGGCCTGGCAGCGGTGACAAGCAAGATGAAGATTGACAAGGGCCAATCGAACCTGATGTTCGGATTCAAGGCGCCGTTGGGTGGAGCATCCAGTTTTTTGTCAACATGTTGAGCAGTACTTAAAGGGTGCCTGTCTCAATGGTGCCTCTGTCTCAAAGGGTGCCTGATGCGAGTTCAGTAATGGGTTTGGAAACTTGAAATACCTGTTCCCACAACCAGGTGGGTGTTTGTCCCACAGCATGGAAGCTCATTCGCCAGCACTTGGACATCCACCGATTTGAGCAATCAGGCGCAATGCTTCAAAACAATTACCAATCCAAGGTCTAGACAATTTCACTCTACTTAGAACCCTGTGACTGTAGAATCCGTTTTGCCTTTTGGTAGCTGCTAGTTTCTCAAACATGTTCCAAAGAATGGTTGGAAGTCCTTCGATTCAATGTCAAGGGCCATCTAATTGACCAAAAGGTTCTGCGACCTATGCTTCTTTTTACAACCTTCGTCCCTGTCCAGCCTTCCACCGCGACACCCTCCTTCAGCCTCGATGGCTTTTGGGTGGGAAGCCGAAAGGGGTTGATGGGCTTTGGTCTGACATGCTGGAGATGACCGAAGCTGGGCAGAACATCTTTTTACAACGTGTGCTCTTTATCTTCGATGTGACAAAGCGCTCTGCTGGAAAAGCACAAGTCCTACGGCTGTCACTCCAACAATGGCAGACAGAGTGTGATGTCTGTTGTGTGGCTGCCTATGTGCTGGAGGAAATGAGGCGGTTCCGGGACCCTGAAAACACGATGGTGTTCCCAGCTGAGACACTGGCTATTGTGATCAACCGTCTCATTGAAGGGTGGCTCGCCTTGCATCCAGAAACCAGGATTTTAATCCATGTTCATGTTGAGATTGCCTGACATTGTTCATCTAATGGCAAAGCACCCCAAAGCGCAAAAACGAGGGTCCTCATGAAAAACAGAATCAAACAACCATTCAAACAACGACCATTCAGGGACTTCCATGAAGAGCTCCGGACAATCGTTGAAACCATGGATCCGGCTTTCAAGCCAGAGCATAGCACGATGTGGGTTGAACATCTCCTCAGTATGAAGGGCGGTGCTGGCGCGAGTACGGCGCTCGTGGCTGTGGACGACAAGATTGACGAGATGACTGCTCAGAACAACAAGCTTCAATTTGAAGCAGACAGCCTGGCACTTGCCAGGGATGCTTCTCAACTGGCCCAACTGTTCCAAGCAGAATCAAAGTCTGAGAGGTCGGCGAGGATGGCAAAGATTTGCCATTTGCGGCAAGAGAATCAGATCGGCTCCAGCCTGGCATCGCAGTGGATGACCAACCATTGCCGTCACAGGGCTGGGGCTGTGGCTGATCTTCAAGAAGAGCTCTCGAAGGCTCTGAGTCATTTGAGTATGTCATTTGATATTTTTCGATTTGGTATCAACAAATGTTAGGTGTACCCAATGTTGAATCATAGATTGGTCTTGGTTCCTTTTCTCGGGCCACACCAACCATTTCCAACTGCCCTGAGTTCGTGGCGAAGCTGAAAGCCGACAATGGGTCCCTGATTGTGTGGGTGGACTACATGAAAACGGGCCGCTTGACGACGCAGGACCTCAACACGACCTGTGATTGTCTCCGCAAGGGACTTGCCTCGATGCCAGAGAAGTCAATTGGCTTCGCAATCGCGCCACTTCTGACCTCAGATCGCCGGAGTGGTCTCAGAGCTGAGTTGAGGAGCCCATGTTATTGGCATGCTGATCGTTTTGGGGGAAGGTCATGAGTCAAACAATTGCCCTTTCAATCCAAAGTCATTGGACAATTGACCCAACAAAGAAAATACATTATATAAATAATATGTTCTTTCCTATTATTGTTACACAACCTATCTGATATGATCTCTTTGCCCCTTGTGATCTATTTTCCAGGCGGGTGGAGGACAAGCTGGATGCCAAGTCCCTACAATCGGAACCCATATCTTTAAGATGTGATGTGGCACCCAGTACAAAGAAGGTGCAGCTTTGCTATCCGGCTTGGCTGATCTTTTCTGGCCCACTCGAGTCCAATGCATGGGCCACTTCCCAACTCATGGCAGAAAGGCTGGGTGGGCAATCAAGAAGCAAATAGTTGCAATGGTTTGTTTAAGAGAAAACGTGCCCCTCCTTTTGCTACATAAGAATTTGGTGCTCAATCATTTGAACCCATCCAGGACCACACGACAACTCTTGCCTTGGGTCCCAGAGCACCAATACACAGTTCCCACCAGCCGGGATGCCACACCACACGCTTCAGAGGGGATGAGGCCTGGCAGTTTGAACAAAGAGTTGGGAGGAATGTCAGGTTTGGCGGGTGATAGAAAGTGGTGTAGGGAAATCGCAACTCCCTGTCCCTGCCAGGTCCCTTTCAGACGTTCAGGAGACAGCTCAGTTGTTGTGTGGGGAAGCAATGCCTGAGGCTATCATTAGCAGCCTCCTTGCTGGAAGTGATGTTGGGCAAACAATCGGGATCGTCAACTTGACCCCGTACGACGGCCACTTGGAGATGCACGTCATCAAGAGGCCCCGGACAGACCCCGGGCATGCCTTCCGAACTCTATCTCTCAGCACTGATCTCGTTGTCAGTCAGCACACAGAGAAAACATGTGCGATGCATTTGTTTGAGGACAGGTGGGCTCCACGACCAAATGGAAAACTTCTTTGCCTGGATTTCAACCATCTCCAATTGTTTTTTACATGGTGACCCTTAACTTCCATGTGTTCTACAAAGCCAGCTGGCTAATGAAACATATCCTGCCCTCTGGTGCCAAATTTAAGTTGAAGGTTCAATGGTTTTGTGGGTGTCTGAACATTGTTTAAGCTCCAAAACATGTGGAGGATTGGAAGGCTGGCGGCAAGACCATGGGCAATGACATCCGCCCATACGACCCTCAGCCGCCACCGCCAAAGCCAGTGGACATCAATGATTTCCCTTTGAAGCTGGCCCAGTTGTCTGTCGATCGCAGCTTGAAAGGACTTCGGAAATACAAGGTGGAGCTCCCGAATGCAGTGAGAGCCTCACACATTGAAGACCCAGTGAATGGAGGTGCATGGAGGGGTTTGATCCTTGACTTCGACAAAAAGCTGCCAGGTTGTATGCCAAGCATGCTTTTGTTTTCGTGAGCTGTACATATCCGCGAAAGACCTTTGTTGGGAAGAAAGACAGCTCAATGAAGAGGGTTGTACCACTTAAGACAGGGTTTTGTGTCCAAAGTCCCAACCAGGTTTTGTGGGGGCCCTGTGACCACTTCTGATGCAGAAAGCCAGCCAGCACCGCCTCTTGAAGATGTGGCGCCACAGCCCTTCGCCTCAGAACCAGAAACTCTGGACCAACTGCTCGAGCTCTATGTGGTGGAGAACAAAGTTCCAGCACGTGACCCAGGGTGTACTCTCATGCTGACATCTGCAACACGAAGGGATGGCAGCAAAGTGGAGATGGTTGATGGCCAAAAGCTGAAGCTCTGGCTAGCATCTTGGTTGTATCATATCTTGAAATGTGTTTATAGCTGACATACTCAGAACTGAATAATATATGTGGCAATGGGCTTCGTATTGCCTCAGGGTGTATTCACTAGCTCATGGTGTAATCTAATGCCTGATTTGCTCTCTTTCATTCATACTATGGCTTAAACATATCAGTTAGTTAATGACATCCGTTTCCTGCACATGTCTCCATTCCAGGTATCTCACCAGGAAAAGGACATTGGCGTCGAAGAGTTCCAAATTGCCCATGGCAAGTCGACCTGGCTCAAGCAGGAGAAGGTTCAGAAGCTGCTGCGCGAGAGCGCTGGAGGAGTATGGGAGTTGAACCTGTCTCTTTCTCCAAAGCAACCATTGTCAGTTTCTAGCATGTTCGCCCATGAGTTTTGGCATCTATCCACTTTGCTGCACTTTGCTTGCGTTCTGTTTATCTTCCAGCAAGGCTTACAAGCAGCAACAGTTAGTGCTGTACTGTAGTGCTGGTAGCTTCAAAGTTTAGCCATGACCACTCTGGCTGATGTTCTGGCAAGTCATGGACTGAAGCAGGACAGCTAAGGGGGACAGGGGGCTTTGTCTGATTCATTCAGTTGTTGGGTTATTCTATGTATCCCTTGGCTCTTTAGTTGCGATCAGGATCATTCTCTGTAGCCCTTAGTTCCTCTAGACCTATAGGGGCTTTATTCAACACATTGACATGCAATGCAATCGCAAGGATTTGGACGCGATGCTGAACTCCAGTCCTTCCGCACTTCAAACTCCACCAAGCCAGGTCGTGTTGGCCTCAAATACCAGGTCGTAGATTCCTGCCAGGCTTACTTTTCATGCTGTGACTATTCATGTTATTTGAGCCTCACGTTGTTTTGGGCCCTGGGTAACAAAGATATAACACAAAACGCCTGTCTGATTGGATGCTTTAAGATCTCGGTGTAAGTATAAGCCACCTCAAAGCCAACTTCTCAAGTTTGTATGTTACTCAATGTCAGCCTCACTACTTTGGCTTGGATCGAATTGTTTTATGGTTTGACTTTGACCAAATCCCATCTCTGCTAGGTCCCGAACCGCACTCCACCGAGCATCTCTGCGACTGGTGCTTCTGCGGGGAAACCCAGTCCTCCAGCCAGAGCATTGCCATTCAATTCCTCGGAAGCTGGTGCTTCTGGGAAGATGACTGCGGAGAAGCAATCAGAGTTGAGAGGTGAAGTCTCTGAAGCAACAGCACAGTTGAACCAAGAAAAAAAGAATGCTAAACTGGCAGCCAAAGCTGTCAAGAACAGGCTTGCTGTTCCAGAAACGGGGGGAGGTTCTGACGAGAAGAAAGGTAAACAGGCTCGAGGTAAGGCTAAGGCTAAAGCCAAAGCCAAGAGTGCTTCGGCAAAAGCGAAGTCTAGGGGCCGTTCAAAGCCTGCGGTTCCTGAAGGGAACAAGAAGGGTGAGGGTGAGGAGCATAACACCAGTGATGTGAAGAAGAGGAAAGCTGCTGCCAAATCACAGGCTGGGTAAACCCATTCATTCTCAAACTTAAACAAAGATTACTTTAGCAATGGTTTCCACTGATTATTTGATTGGTTTGGAGTCAGTCATTGTTCATCACACCAATCAACAAACCGACCCCTGAGACTGCTAAACCGCGTGCTCGGAAGCCTACCAAACCTGAGAAGGAGGAGCCTGAGGAGGCCAATGATTATGTTTGTCTGTGTTTGCATTGGTTACTGTCTCCTGCCTGAGACTCCTATTGAACCTGTACCTGGACATGTCTGCCTGCCAGGAGGACATCTTGGACAGTGAGGAGGAATTGAACAGTGAGGACAACGGCGGTGAGAGTGATGCTACAACACGTGTGTTGGGAGACTGGGACGATGAGACCGCTGAGTGTGCCAAGAAGGGCAAGGGCAAGCGTCAGGCTGACCAGAAACCTAGTCAGGGTACGCAGGAAGCATCCGAAACTATGCGGGGCACCTATTGGCAGGTGGTTCATGAGGCACAGAAACGTATCAAGAAGGACAACCCCAAGATGTCGGCCAAAGAGGTTCTCAAGCTTGCGAGGGAATCGTAGTCTGGTCGCACAGAGAAAACTCAGAGACCTTTTGCTCTAATTAATGAACTTTAATGAACTTAATGCACACATTGGATTCTGTGTGAGCGCAATGCGTTTTTGTTCCATGTGTTGAGCGCCTGTGTTGAGGTGGCTGACTCACCCCCTTCGAGTGAATGCCATGAAGCACATGAGCCCATCAGAATTGAGCCGAAGGCGCATGAGGCCTTCAAAAAAGTGAGGGCTGCTGAGTAAGCCAGTGGGGATGTGATCCCTCCCATCCAATTTACACACTCTCCAAATTCGAGCGCCATGCAATGCACGCATGGCTACCGAGTGTGGGATGGAGTGGGTTTTGAATAGTTGATTGATAGAAGGCCTGGTGGGGCTGCTTAGGCGACACGATCCATCGAGCAGGGAAAGAATAACCCACCTAGCTCCATGCTTTGAGATGCAGTTTACTTTGACCTGCTGTGCAGGCTGTTGACCTTGCAAGCTCAAACACTTAGACTTGACTTGCTAGTCTAGTCATTGATACTGGCTGACAGGAGACGGAGCACTTCAGTATGTAATCCCAGCCCGGTTTGCAAACGATCTATGCAAGGTTGTCCTAGAGATGCAGAGTGAAACCTCCAAACAGTGTACTGATGCTGCACCCTGCTCGTTGAGAGACCTCGTACACGAGCTCGAAGACGAGGGTATGATTGATACTACTCTTCATGGCCATACTCTAGAGCGACCAGCTGTGGAGGCTGGTGATGGCACCTTGCAAAAGCTATTGTTCACACTTGCTCACACTTGCTTTCAGGGAGGGTGTGGCTTCCATCTATGTTCTATTTACTGAGGAAAGGATTTCCTTGTCGTGAAGGCCACCACCCCGGCTATGTTCCAATACACGCCTGGTGTTGGAAATCTCAAATTCACTTCGTTGGCCAGTGCTTTCCCGGTGGAGGCTGGGGTGGTTTGATGGGATTGGTGCTTTTTTAAGCTCTCCTCACACATCCTCACACCTAAACCTCAAAACTTAGGAATGTCGCTCGGCTAGGTCTTAGATGCCACTCCGACATTGTGCCGCCACTGGCGAGTGGCCTATCAGAAGGCTGAGAAGGACACTTTGAATGATGTTTTCTTTTCAATCATACTCTCTTTCATGTCCATCGACTGGCCCTTCCTGGCACTAACCTTCCACATCCTTCTGCCAAGGAGCTCATGCCCAGACTCTTGTCAGCAAGGGCTGCCCATGGCCAATTTCAAACAGTGGAAGCTGCAGAAATTTGTCCTTATTCTCTTAATGCAGTCCTTATTCTCTTGCATCCAGTCTCTTGTGAACGCTGGTTTACTCTCAAACATCGACCAAACGTGGTTAAAACATCTAAGGGAAACCGCTCTACTTTCTGCGGGAGAACCATTCCTTCAAAGCGAATGGTGTGTTGCGATTGATTTGATCGCACGGACGTTTTGTAGTGAAAGCTTAGCTTCAAGGGAAAGCTTCGAGGGAAGGCTGCTTGAGTGTTCCAAAGGTTGGACATTGGTCATGTGAAAAGAAACACATGATCACAAAAGGCTACAGGCCATTCAAGCAGCCATGGGTGAAACCTTTCCTGGAGATCTGGCACGTGAGACCATGTGCAGTGTGGCGAGAAAACGTATCGGATGAATCTGTGATCGCACGTTCGGGGGTGGTGGGATGTGTGCATGCCTGTCAATGCTTCTAAATCTCACAAACATGTCCCTCGAATACAATGAAATTACCCTCGAATGCAATGAAACTTACTTAGTGCACATCGTAGACATGTGCGGTGAAACTGCCCAAATTCTTGGGTGAACTGAACCGTGCACCATGTTTATCGCTGATTTACATGCCACGAGCTGGAGCGGTGAACGGACCATGCAGGTGCAGCTTCTTCGATTCTGAGCGGGACGAGACGGTGAGACCGTGAGAGGCGCCAGGGTTGCGACCGTGATATGATACCAGGTCAATGGTCCTCTAAAATGAGAAGCACTGGCTTAAAAAGAACTGCCAAAGAACTTGTGCTGGGGGCTGGGGGTTGTACAAAAGCCGTCATGTTGTAGAGATGTGGTATGTAGATGCAACCTGTTTTCTACACATCGGAGTTTGGGGCTACACTTCTGGGATATTCTGGGATCCATAACTACAACTGTGCAGATCATGATCCCGTGGTGGTTACGTCGCGGTGCCGATGCTTTCATGTGCAAAATGATTGGGTGTCGGTCAGGGACCTTGTCGTTGATGGACACTGCAGAGCGGTTGCAAACTGTGTCCTCATATTCGTCCTCGCTCCGATGCTCCGTTGCTCCGCTCCGATCCGTCCAACAAGAACAACAACAACAAGAAAAACAATAACACAAACAAGAACAAGAACAAGATCAAGAACAACAACAACAACAAGAACAATAACAAGCGCAAG